TGTAATTGCATTTATTTGGCAGAACATTATTTAATTCCATCTGGTACGATGTTGGGAGTTGTCATTTACAGCGTACACAGAAATCAAAAATATTGACCAAATCGAAATGTTTTCGATCCGGACAAATTTTTACCGGAAAATATGAAAGGGCGACATCCCTACTCCTACATTCCATTTAGTGCAGGGCCGAGAAACTGTATTGCTAAATGTTTCATGCAGAAGTAAAAATCTTAAATTGCTCTAAAATTGCTTTTTTTATTCGTCTGTTTCTCATTTTGCAGGTCAAAAATTCGCAATGCTAGAGCTTAAGATGTTTGTAGCATTTATATTGCACAATTTTGAGTTGGAACCGGTGGATGAATTAGATGACGTTACATTTTTTGCAGATCTCACTTTGACCTCGTCTAAACTACTTCGAGTCAAATTTATACCTATTGTATAGATATTTTTTATATACGTTGTCCTTAAAAAAATAAAAATTAGAATACAGTTTTAGAGAATTTATTCGTAATTGGTAAATATTGTTGGAGAATAATTTGAAATTGTAATTTACTCTGTTTAACTGGGGAATATATTTTAATGTTAAAAAAAAAACAATTTAATATTTTTTAAATATGTATGTCTATTGGGTTGGCAACTAAGTGATTGTGGATTTTATCGATAAAACTATTATTAAAATAACCGCACTCTCTTAGTTACCAACCCCCAATATTTAAAGATCATATATGAAAGTTAAAATTGTCATTGTGCATAAACTAAAGGGGTGAAGTAAGTAAGAGGGGTACCGTTCGTTGCGTGTGCTTTGCGAATTTGCCATACGCAATGAGTCACTGGTCGGGAACGCATCACACGTTTGCGCTTAACCAATATTTCAATTGCGGTGAATCGTTGGTTCGTGCGTATCGTACTTTTTGAGCTTATTTTAATATTCGGCGAATAAGTGATAGGCCGAGCACGCAATTTATCTGTTCATGGGTTCAAAGGTTCAAACAAAAAGGAATAATGGTTAACTAGACGCATCCAGGACCATCAACATCTGTAGCGACGCCAGAATGCGTGGCTCAAGTTCAATGTGAAATTATGCGCAATCCACGTAAATCGATAAGGAAAATTGCAGCCTTTACGGAAATAAGAGAACCAACAGCGTACGTAATTATAAAAAAAAACAACAGTTTCAATCATACAAAATGCAAATCGTATAATATCTCAACGAAAATGACTAATCCTTACGAGAAACCTCAGCGAGAACGATATTGGAACGTTTTCGTACACCACGAACCCTTGGTAAAATTTTTGATTTATTGACGAAGCACATTTCCATATCAATGGCTATTAGTCCAGTCAATAAGAGGAAAACTTGGAAAATTTAGCTAGCCGGGCGAAATTTGATA